ACTGTGTCACCATCACCAAAATAGTACAACTATAATACACACTAATAATACTACGTCAAATTTGAACTCAGTATCTATGAAACTGTGTGGACAATGGTTGATTGCATCTTGAGTTGGGATAAGATGCATTTCCAATAATTACTTTCTGAGAGTGTCATCAGTATCTGATGGTGGTTAACGAGACCTTTCATAAATACACAGACTTGACACTAATAGATAATGTCATATTTTAAAACAGATGTTATGCATTTGTTTGGTGCGCAGAGTACCATATATGCTAGGGATAATTCCACTATGACATCATTGTTGCCAAAGTAAGTAACAAACACACCTCCCCCACCCCCTCCCCTGAACATAGGAGGATCTGAGGTGGAAGTGGTCTCCAGCTACAAGTACTTGGGTGTGCAACTGAATGAAAACCTCAACTGGAGCAACAACACCACCAGCCTGATCAAGAAAGCTCATCAGAGACTACTTCCTCAGGAGGCTGAGACGAGCTGGACTGGGAAGCTCAGTCCTCACCTCCTTCTACAGGTGTGCAGTGGAGAGCATCCTGTGCTCCAGCATCAACGTGTGGCATGGAGGCTGCAGAAAGAAAAGCTCTGCAGAGAGTGGTGAAGGCTGCACAGAAGTCTGTTGGGGTCAGCCTCACCACCATCACAGACATCTACACCTCCAGATGCAGGAAGAGGGCCACCTGCATCATGAAGGACCCCACTCACCCAGCACACACACTTTTTGCCCTGCTACCCTCAGGTTGCGGAACATTAAGCGTAGAACCACTAGACTGAGGAACAGCTTCTACCCTGAGGCTGTTAGACTCATGAATCTAATCACTGTGAAAAATCACATCAGCTGATTTGTGCTCATCTGCTCACACAGACTCATGTTCGTGCCGCTGTTCAGCGTATTGTTTTCATTGTTTTTATACTACTACTGTAGTGCTTAGTGTATTTTTAATTTAACGTTTTTCTTAGTTCATATCTTAGATCTTATTACTGTTTTTCGTTTACATTTTATACTTTTATTGGATGTAACTGGGACCCTGTGTACACAATTTCATTCCACCACATGTACCACATGCGGTGCGTATGACAAATAAAGAACCTTGAATCCTTGAAGATGACTGAGGTATAGCGATTTTAGTATTTTTAAGGTTGCTTAGCTGTGGCAGCCATCTTGAATGGGGTTGACTGTAGTTGTAGATGTTCAAGTTCATGTTCTTGTTTCACACAAAAACGCCGTCAAAAAATAAACTTATTTGCTTTTTTGATTTGGCAGCAGTTGATGAAAACATTTGCCTCTTTCAATGAAGACACTGTCAAACTGTCAACAGCGTATTTTGGAACACCTTTACTCAAGAAAGCTGAAAAGAGGAAACTAGCTTCAGCATTTCGTCAATAAAAACTGCATCTTGTCTGCACTTTCAGTGACCGTCATGTACAAAAATGATGGTGGTCCCCACATTTATGGAGCTGAATTTGTGGCTGCAGTGCCATTCATCACATTCTCCGCAGCATCAAGCAAACGAAAGGATCGTTTTCCACTGGCTTTTAAGCGCAGCATTGTCAGCGTTCAACAGCCAAGCGACAGACGAGTTAGGAGCCCCCCAGGGCCCTTCTATCTACCTCGCTCTTGGTTGCTTTGTCTAACAGACACTGAATAGGTGAGCCTTTGTGCTGCTCCCCCTCACATCTGCTGACCCACCCAGCCCCCAATGAGCTTCCTCATGTGCAGTGACAATGTGCTCCAGAGAACTGATACAGCCATATCTGAGTTACCGCTGCTTTATGGCTGGGTGTATGTCAGGTTTACACTCGCTGCGGGCAAAGTGGTGAAAACTCCCCAACGCTTCCGCAGAGGCCTACAGCTCAGTTCCACTTTTGTGAAAGTCTGGAAAGTGCAGCATATCACTATCATTGTTTCCTGTAACATTTGCACTTTGATGGAAGGGTCCACTGGAAATATCTCATTCAGATCTTTTTTTTTTTTAAATCAACTGGCAGTTTGTGAACGGTTCACTTTGAGGCAAGGCTCAGATCCGGTTTCTTAACTCTACTCTTTCTTGTTGACAGCTCGTTTTCAGTTTGTCCCCCTGCTGACCTATTCATACTTATATTTATATCATGTGACACACTATCATTAAAGATTGAAGCAATTAGTAGTTCACTTTAATTGTCTTTCCTCGCGTGAGTTGCAGAGGCTTACAGCCTTGTTGCAGGAATTTTGAGATTTTTTTTTTTTATTAATCCACAAATTTCTCTCAATCTAGTTAGAGTCATCTTAGGTATTTCAAACCCATCCAAATGTTACTGCAGGCATCAAAAAGAGCTGTTTTTTAACACCTGCAAGGGAGTTCTCCATTGACGAAAACATGTACAGGTCTAATGTCCACACCAATGATGATTTTTTTTTTTTTTATTGGTCCAAGTCTTTGTTTTAAAAGTGGAATTTAGTAGAAAAGTGGGAGTGGCTGCCTAAGAGGGTACAGCCTGAGCCAAGCAAGTCGTGTGAGCTGAGTAAATAAATAATATGCACGATCTAAAATACAGTGTTTCAAGCTGTGCACACAAAAATAAGCATTGACTTTTCGCAACTTGCTGTGCAAAAGGCATCCATCCAGCTTTATGATCCCTTGATTGTAAACATTCAGAATTCATTGAGACTGCAACAGAAAATGAGTGTTTTTTCTTGCAATACTGAGTCCAGTTGGAATTGCCGACTAGTTTTTATGCAGTCCAGCGAGATTCTAGCTCGCTCATTATGTGGCCTCTGTTTGGAGAAAGAAATATTCTCATCAGATTGGCAGCTGATGGATGGCCAAGACCAAAGAGAATTGCTCCCATTTCTAAACTTCAATCCTAAGCATTTTTTAACTGTTCATGTTATTTTCTAAAGTTTTGCATCACAATCAATTATGCATTACATATTTACACTTTTCATTACTTTTATTTCATTTAACCAGACTAAGGATTTAGATCCAAATTTAATTTGCAAGGGGGTCCTGACTTCCTGGTAGTTCAAGATTTTTCTCTGGATTTTAAAACCATACGAACTACAAAACAAACCCACTCAAAATTACAACATTTGTTTAACAAGGCAGAATGTCACATCTTAATGCAACAGACAGAAACAATTACAGTTTCTGTCTCTAACATTTTTGCAAGGCATTCAAACATCTCTGGACCCACATCAAATGTCTGATAAATATTTACCTCCATTCTGCCTGATTTCTTATACACTATTTGCCTTTTGCACCAAAACTAGTTTTTTTTTATGTAGTTGTATTTGTACTTCAGAAACATTCTAACAAGATGGATGAGAAGCAGTTCAACTTAGTGTGATTCCCAACAGGAAAGAGTAACTGTAACTTTAAAAAGGATCTGAGTTCTCATTAAAGCTAGCAAGTTCTTAAAAAAGTTGAAAATTATCCTGTTTCCACATCTGGCTGCTCATCCTTATGTCATAGTGTGTTTCTTTGCCCGGCGAATTGACCAGACCCCAGCTCTTCCCTCTTTCAATTAGAACTCACAGAACTACATCAAAGTCAGAATATTCTGTTTAAAGTTTCTTATTTAATACTAGTAATTTTAGAGAAAATTCCCATTTTCTTCCATATTGCTTCCTGGAATTAAAAGAGCCATTTTGCCCAACATTTGGATCTAGCTTGGAGCTATTTTCCATCACTTTAGGAGCTTCCAGATGCACAAAATCAGCAGGAAAGAGGTTGAATGCATTTAAAACTAAATGATTTTTTAAATATGGTTAATTCCAACTCATTCCTTGCTTTTTTGTGATTGTTGATTCTTAATTCCATAATATAGATACAAGAATAGCAGTTTGGTGTAATACAGTATGCATGTGGTGATCAATGCTGCACTGTAGATAAGCCAATAAAGCATTTTTCTTAAATACATGCAAAGGACAGGTCAAAGGATCAACAGCTCACACTGCATCTACAGTGATAAAAGCTGACTTTTAGACTTAGTGCCAAGTTGGAAACCATTAAATGCATAAATGAGCTTGTTTAAGAAGTGATCGTTAAAAACTTGAACCTTTTATTTTTTTTTAAATGTCATCATAATGATGATGCAACTTGTAATATCAGATGTGAAAGCACACATGACTGGAGACAAGTACAATTTGTAAATTCTTAAAAGCAAATCAAATGAAACAAACCTATCGATAAACAAGAGTTTTGGATTCATTCAGCATATTCAATATTTATTATGTGTTCTATGTTTTATAAATTCAACTCAAACTGTGTAAAGTAATAACTTCCTCCTGTCACTCTAACCTGTTTCTTTTTGTTTTATGAGTTTGTTTTGCGGGCAGCACGGTGGTACAGTTGATAGAGCTGCCACCTCTCAGCAAGAAGATGGCCCCAGTTCAAATCCCACTGGGTGGAATTTGTATGTTCTCTCTGTGCATGCATGGGTTTTCCCCGTGTACCCCAGTTTCCTCCCACAGACCAAAAACATGCATGTTAGGCTGATTGGTAACTCAAAATTGTCCCTAGGCGTGAGTGAGAGAATGAATGGTTGGTTGTCTCATTTGTCTATGTGTCCCTGTGATGGACTGGATACCTGCCCATGGTGTACCCCACTTCTCATACAGTGATGGCTGGACATGGGCACCAGTAACCCCCGTGACCCGAAAAGGAAGACGCGGGTAAAGATAATGGATGAATGGATGGATGGATAGATGGATGGATAGATGGATGGATGGATGGATAGATGGATGGATAGATGGATGTATGTTTTGCTAGCTAAACTCATCTGTCACAATGAGACCGTCTCATACGTTGTTGTCCTCCAACTACTGTGACAACATTTTTAAAAAGAGCTGGAAAGTCAAGCATTTAAACGTTATTGAAGCTTTGCAACAATTAGACACACTACTCAGAATCACAATGAAACCATCAAGCCATAGAAAATCTAATCAACATGGTGAACAGAAGAAGCGTTTTTAAGATGGCTGATTATTCCATCAGATCTTACCTGAAGTGCAACAAGAATATTGGGAAGTGCTTGTCCATAAGTGTCATGGCAGTGAACCGCTAACACATTAACGGGCACATCTTTCATCACCCTCTGTAGCATCGTAAACATGGATCCAGGAGTCCCGACACCAATGGTATCCCCCAGGGAAATTTCATAACAACCCATTTCATACAATCTTTTTGCCACCTAAAGAAAAATAAAAAAATACTCTCATTAGCAGCAAATTGTACGATTAAATAACTGTTAGCTTCATGCCGGGTTGGATTTAGTTTAGACAAACAAGAAAACCATCAGATGCACACTACATCTGGAGACAAATTTGTGTTTTGTCTTTTACTTCATAATGAGCAAAGCATTTTACTCTCAAGTATGAGCATGTCCACAAAAGCCACAACCACATTAATTTCAGGATTTTAAAGCTAGTTTTACCTCTGCAACTTTTGAAGGTTCAATACATTCCTCATAGGGGCAGCCAAGGGCACAAGAAACATATCTAAAAGAGAAAAAATACATATTTGTTCTGAATTAAACATTTATTTTAACTGTCAACATAAAGACTGAAAGTGATATGAGCTGCCATTTTTGTTGACATTGTTGATTCATTGTACTAATTAAGTTACAGTTTAATTTAAATATTAATAAGTTGCACAACAAAGCGCCCATATCTACCGTAATCTTTTTAAATACTGCAGTTTTGTTTAATGAACGGGCTGAGAGAGTTCAACATTAACACAATGGAGTGACTTGTCTCTGACAAAAAAAGCATTTACATGATTTTAAGTAACTCAAGCTGCTTGGTCTGCTTCAGTGTGAACCATATTGTGACAATCTTTCAGCCTAATCTAATGAAGATCTAAAACTTTGACACAAGTTTACTGCACTGGGATTTTTCCTTTAAATAAGACCTGTAACATGTCCAGCTGTTTTGGTAACTTTTATTGTAAATATCCTGATGCATGCTCAATTTTATTGTAAAGTTAATGAGCTTGAAAGCAAAGAATCTGTTAAATGTTGGATGTGAATTTGTTCACCACCTTCGAATGTTATCAGCCATTAAGTAGCTGTTATTAGTTGTTATCATCCCCATAGGTTGCCTTCAGACTGTCCCTCCTGTACCTGAAAAGTATGCTCTTATCGCTGACAATAGGGTCAGGTGGTTAGGTTAAGGGTCAAGGTTCAGAGGGTTAGATTTACAGTCAGGGTTACCGTATTTTTTGCTGTATAAGTTGCAGTTTTCTGCATAATTTACATGCCCTGCAACTTATAGGCCGAAGCGACGTATTTATGGATTTTCCCCCATACTTATAAACCAATTTTTGGCTGAGATATGACCGTTTTCATTCATTCTGACGGAAAAAAATTGAACAGTACCATTTATGAGCCACTAGATGGAACCAGAGTAGTAAGGCATGCCGTTGTATCATGTAATAGGTAAACATGGCTATAATGACAAATTCAAAAAAGTTCAAGACAAAAATAACTGGACTTTATTTATTATACTTTATACTTTTTTTTTTTTAACTTTTTGAATTTACCATGTCCTGGATGACTGAGAATTTTCCACCAGCTATTAATGACACAATGGCTTGCCATAGCATGACACCTTCATTCTTCTTGCTGCTTGGAGCAACGGTCAAACCAGTTTCATTTCGCTGCACCGCCCCGGCGAAATGCAGCTAATTTGACCATTAAAGTGCATTTATAAAATAAAATTTCAACTGAGACACACCTTTGCTATAATTTCAAGCAAGCAAATAATTGTTTTAGGTGCTTATATTGTTAAATTTCGAAGAAACGCACAGCGTTCCTCTTTCCTTTTTTCCTCCCTGTTTGCACGCTCCCGTGAACACGGAGGCAGCAACTATTTTGAAATACAGCTGATTTGACCATTAAAGTCCTTTTATTAAACAACCATTAGACTGAGACACACTTGTACTATAAAGTCACACAAACAAATTACTTGTTTTTAGGTATTTATCTTGTTAAATAAAAAAAAAAGAACAACAGTTCGTCCCTCTGTGTGTGCCCGCTTCCACGAATCAGCTTTTGAAATGCAGCTGATTTGACCACCAAAGTGCATTTATTAAGCAAAAGTTAGACTGAGACACACCTTTACTAGAATTTCGAGCAAACAAATAATTGTTTTAAAGTGTTAATCTTGTTAAATTATTGTTAAAGTCCTCCCGTGCATGCTACAATGGCCGCTGTTTGGCAGCCAATCGATTTTTGGCACAACACCGGCCCACATTTCTGGGATGTCAGCAATGACACGTAACAAATTCGACGCGTCAGCGGTGACGCATAATAGATGTAACATATACGGCGAAGCAACATATTTATGTTTTTTTCCACTTTATTAGACATATTTAGACTGATGCGACTTTTATGGCGGAGCGCCATTTACGGTAGAAAATACGGTAGGTTAACGCTGAAGGGTCAGGGGGTTAAGTTTAGGGTCAGTGCTCTTGGTCAATTGTAAGGTTAGGTTAAGGAAAAGGGTTAAATAAAGCTAACAAAGAAAAGCTTCTGGTTTCAGACATGTGCAAGGCTGCATATTATCTGCAATAAGAATGTACCTTTTAACCTACTAGGAAGTAGGAGGGACAGTATGAACACATAGGGATATGACATATGGGGATGATGACAACTAAAATCAGCCATTTAATGGGATGATAACATTCAAAGCTGCTGATTTGTTGCTGGTGACATTAAATTTCAGAATACCAACCCGCGAACTGGAATTTGTCTCTCTTTGGCAGCGTTAATGACTTCCTCAAACCTCTGCATGCTTTCATCTATGGAGCAGTTAATGTTTCTTCTGCTGAAGCTTTCTGACGCTGACCCAAACACAGCGATTTCAGTGGCACCAGCAGCAACCTGAAAACAGGCAAGAAAAATATGTTTTTGACTGGATGGGAGTTACACTTTTGTATGAGCCCAAATTAGAAAAATGCTGCAGAAAAAAAAATCAGTTATGCTTACAAGAATGAGCAGTAGTGATAAATCATGCAAACAGTTTTATTTATTACACTGTAACGATAATAAATTCTTACAGCATCCTGAAAACCTTGCATGTTAGGCGTCAAAACAGGGTATCGAACATGAGGTGCTTTCTGGATTCCTTGGAAGACATCAGTGTGGTCGGCCATCTAAACATAAAACTTGCCATGTAAATAAATTTTAAAAAGCCAAAAACAACGAACAACTTTCTTTTAGAAACTAACAAAGTGAAATTCATGGCAGGGAATGAAAAGACGACTGCACACAGGAGACAACCTGTGAGCACATCGAGGAAGCACACTACAGGAAAAGATTGATCTCGCTACATATGAGGCAAAACATCAGGTTTCGAATAAATCGCTCAGCACTCTGTTGCTGTGCACAGAGAAGAGTTATTACCTGCGGTACCCACTTTGAAGAGACAAAGCTGGTGGCCTCGATCACAGACAGCCCTGTTGCAGAGAGCCTGTCAATCAGCTCGACTTTCACCCTTGTTGGAACAATTTCCTGGGGAACAATGAAACTGAAGCAGATTGCTCTGGATTTGATTTGACAGATGGATCACTTTTTCTTACTTTTGATGAATGCCACGGTTACAAATCTGACGTGCATAATCTTGTACTTGAAAGTTTTGAAACTATTCCAAACATGTTCCGATAGAATGCCACTTTTCCCCTCCTTTTACTTCGGCTACGCAACAAGGCAATGATAAAACTCAGATAGCTGAGCCATCTTTTCTGTTCTCTTTCAAAGAAAATACAAAGCAGATGTTTCCAGCAAGAATGGTACAAAACCCATGACTGTTTTATGTATGTAAGCTAATACGGGACTTTCCTGTACTTATGCATAATAATAAACAGAGGTGTCTACTATGAATATAGAAACAAGTTTGAGTGAAATGACAGCTAATACCTTTTCATTTTGGAGTCCATCTCTTGGCCCGACTTCAACGATTTTCACAAACTTCGGATACTCCTGTTCTGTAAAGATCTGGAGAAACAGAGAACAAGAAGAAAAATTAAGCTCAACAGAATAATATCCCCAGCCCAAAAAAGCAGCCACCTTCTTTGGGTGGGATTCCCCTGAAAGATTTTAAAACTCAAACCACAAAAAATCTGAAAGAAAAATCTCATGCTGTTAGTACTCAAAGTATGTGCTAGGAAAGAAATTCAGTTAGTACTACATTAACATTTAGCTCATTATTTGTAAAACTGACTTTAAAGCATTTTTGTGTTTGCACACAACAAACTGTGGCAGCTGCCTTGAATTGTGTTGGTTACAAAAGTTAATCCGCTGTAGAAGTTTATCCAGTAATTATCAGGCAGTTTCAATAAAAAGCAGCTCTGGTGCACTGGTAGGGCTCTTGACTTGGAACTGGAAAGTCTCAAGTTTGATGCCACGGATTCCCATATGTTGTGGTGTCCTTGAGCAAGCCAACTATTCCCTAGGTGCTTAAATAGCTGCTCCACTTAGGTGTGCCTCAAGTGTGAGAAGTTAAATACAGAGCATGAATATCTTTGTTACATTGATGACTATATAACTCTGCACTGTTGTTCATGAGATATTTTGCTAACATACAGAGATGATTCCATCAGGGTTTAGAACAAAGATCTCGTGCATTAGAATAGTGCAACTACTACTACTCTCAACTATCACTATAATTTTAGCTCAGTGTTTCAGAAATTGACTCATTTAATAGATGTGGCGTGCAACTTGAATCATTTGTAGATAAACGTGCATTTATTAAATAATATATGAGAGTTTTCTCAGAATCTTTATGAGATATTTTACAAACAGACAAAAATAACAGTGCTTACATTATTGCTAGCCGTTTAGCAGCTGAATGAATAACCAAATACATAAATGAACACATTTACAACTGCCATTAATACGCGATTCAGTAAACACAGATTTAAGTTCAAATTAATTAATATAAAAGCGTACTCTTTGCTGCTCTTAGACCTCATCTGTCGAGGTGGTGAGGTGTGGCAGAGTGCAGATCGGAAACAAGAAAAGGGGTGCCCACCTTCTCCTCCTGCAGCCAGCGTCGCAGCCAGGGGTAGTCCTTGATGGTTTGCTCATAGCTCAGACAGTGCTTCACTGTGGTGGGAATGTTCCCCATCAGAACGGCTCCTCCGAGGAGAAACCGTACGGGTCGTTGTAACTAACAGAGGTAATCTGGGTCGCTCATCTGCGTGCTAATTCCGGTCTGTATGCTGGGCTTCCCTGCTGCATGAAAAGATTAAATTAAGAGGAAGGCTGCCGACAACCGGCAATGACTCAGCAGTTGCCATGGCGACCACATCCCTGGCAGGAAGGTGGAGCTGACAATGGAGTAATTGGGTTAGGGGTGGGGAGATGCAGGGAGAGGAAATTGTTAAGCAAATCAATAAGACCAGCTGGATTTACAGTAAAAAAAATAATAATACAAGATTGTTTTTTAAATAAATGAAAAATAAATTATGAACATGGAAAAATAATAAAGGAAATCAGCTGTGTCTTTAATTTGTGCATAAACTATTAAGAGCTAAGTGCTCTAAGTACTTTAATCAGTTTTGTGATCTTGCTGAGTCAGCAAATTTGAACTTTTGTCTTTATTCTGTTGAGAGCTGAAGCCTTGAGAGAAGGGCGGCTTGATCAAAGCTAAAACATTGCCAGAGGTGCCACTGGTGCCACTGGTGCCACTGGTGCCACTGGTGTCAGTGTCAACCTCAAGATGTGATAAAATCCCTTGAGGCAGGTCAACGTTTACTAGAGGAAGTCTTTCTGAACCCAGATGTTAACAATAGAGGTTTAATAAAGCCTTCATGTTCACCCACCACACAAAGAGGTGCTGTGATGACACCTCAAAATCTTTCTAAAGAAAAACATCTACACGTCCAGATGCAGCAAGAGAGCCACCTGCATCTTGAAGGACCCCACTCACCCAGCACACACACTTTTTGCCCCGCTCCCTTCAGACAGGAGATTGAAAAGCATTAAGTGCAGAACCACTAGACTGAGGAACAGCTTCTACCCTGAGGCTGTTAGACTCATGAATCTCTAACCAGAATAATCACTGTGAAATATTCACTGTAATGTCACTTGATTGTTGATATGTGCTGCTGATCTCATGCTGCTGATTTATTAATGCTGCTGTATTCATTCGTACTCATCTGCTCACACAGACTCATGTTCGTGCTGCTGTTCGGCATATTGTTTTGTACTACTAGCGCTTATTATATTGTTAGTTTAACATTTTTCTTAGTTCATATCTTAGATCTTATTACTGTTTTTCTTTTACATTTTATACTTTTAGCTGAATGTAACTGGGACCCTGTGTACACAATTTCGTTCCACCACATGTATCACATGTGGTGCAAATGACAAATAAAGAAACTTTGACTTTGACTTTAAAGGGAGGGAGGCAACTCCATCCATCCATCCATGCAGACTGTGATGAAGTGAAAACTCAAAACAATCTGTTGGCTCCTTAGATAAATAACATTATTAACTTTATAGTAACATATACTTTATATGTAAGTGAACGTTTCTAACAGTGCACTGAGATGACTTCTGTTGTGATTCGGTGCTATATAAACAAACTGAATTGAACTGGATTGAATTTACCCGCTTCTTCCTCTCTGGGTCAAGGGGGTCACTGGTGCCCATATCCAGCAGTCACTGAGCGAAAGGCGGGGGACACCCTGGACAAGTCTCAGTCCATCACAGGGACACATAAAGACAAACAAGACAACAACCACTCGCTCACTTACACCTAGGGACAATTAAGAGTTACCAATCAGCCTAACATGCATGTTTTTGGTCTGTGGGAGGAAACTGGTGAAAATGCACAGAGAGAACGTACAAAGTCCACCCGGAAAGGGCCAAGTCAGGATTTGATCCAGTCGCCTTCTCGCTGAGAGGCGGCAGCTTTATCAACTGTGCCACCGTGCCACCCCTCAAATAACCAACTTTGAAAAATTACATTTTTCCAAGTCACTCCAAGGTTGACAACCATAGGCTGCCAGGTCGATGGTTTTAACATCTCTTCCTCTAAATGCCCCTAAATCACTTCTACATGTTATAGGCAGGAGCAGGAAAATACAGGATTGTGACCGTATTCATGTTTCCATAAAAATAAAAATAAATGTTTTGAGTGCCATTGCATTATTTATAGTTCATTTAGAAATAATTATATAATACACAATATACAAAAAGTATAGAATTAAAAAAAAAACAGTAGGCAGAGTAGGTTTTAGTGAGATCAGTGAAGCATGGAGTTGACAAGCCTGGGTAGAAGCTGTGTTTGTTCTTTCTTGATGCTCAGCTGTTTTCTAACGGAGGTAAAAGGCTAAAACAGCCCACAGGCAGGGTGTACTGCTGTGCACCTGCTGGTGTGGGTGTCAGGGCAAAGACAGAGCCTTCAGCTATACAATCTAATATCTTGTGGCGTCAGCCTCAAGTTTGTGTCATTTTTGCTGAGCACAAATAGTTTTAACCCAGAGTTAAGTTTTCTGAGGTGATGAAGGATTAAGGGCACAAATAGGTAAGTGCTCTTTATTTACAGGTGCCAGAACAAGGTAGTGGATTGTAAATCTGTGGAGGATGAGACAAGATGAGTCTTTGATAATCATTAAACTAAGTAATATCGGACAGTAAGGCAGGATTTTACAGCGGATGTGTGTCTTTTAGGCAGTGATGGAGAGGATTGCAGGACTAGTGGTCTAGTGGCTGTCCAGGCAGAGTGGACTGTTGGAGAGTGACAGGACCAGAAAACTCAGGAAAACAGGCAATATTTCAAAAGTAAGTGAAACTGAAAAAAATAAATAAATAAATAAATCACAAAAACGATTCTTCCAACAATTTTCAGTCAGGTCATCTGGACAGTTTTTTTTTATTTTTTTTGCTGAAATGTTTCACCTTCCATCCAGAAGGCTTCATCAGTCAAGGAAACACGACACAAAACTGATTCTTCCCCCAAACAGCTTACTCCAAAGTGGAACAAACCAGTTATGTTGGTGCTAAGATGGTGTCTTTGGCACGCCCCCTCCTCTGGAGCCGGCCCTCTTCCTCGTCGACCGTCATGTCAAACGGGTTCAAAACCAAAACAAAGTCCATGCTCAATAATCCAGGTATACAATCCAACAATTTTCAGTCCGGTCATCTGGACAGTTTCTTTATTTTTTTGCTGAAACATTTCACCAAAAACGATTCTTGTTTGAAGAATCTCAAACATCACTAAAAATCTTCAAAGGCTGTGATTATTCACCCAAGTGAACCAAACACTCCAGAGATGGCTTCTGAAGAGACGGTGTAGAGATGAACTTGTCAGCTCATCTGCTGCAGCTGTTTAAGATTTGCTTCATCTGTCACTCAGGAGCTGTGTGGATATTGACAAAAAAGAAATGGAAACCACTGGAATCCTCACGGTTTGGGTTTTGGAGGAGAAATAAGAATAAACCACCTTAAAGTGCCTGAGCCACCCTTTGATGGGTGATGCTCTGACACTGATCACCTCTCGTTATTCTGCTGTCTTTACTCCTCTCACAATTTAAAAATGATGACAATAACTTTGAATTGGTCTTATTTTCTTTCATTTCATTCTTTTATGCTTGTGACTCCTTTCTATTTTTTTTTTTTTTTTTTTTTTGCCTGATCCTTCAAGGCAAATGGCCACACATCTCAGACTCTTCTGGCTATTTTTTTACGTCTATGTTGCTTTCCCGATATGTTCAAGCTAATACGTGGGTTTTCTTGGCTGGATAACTTTTTGCAAACTGACAGTACTTTTGAATTTAAGTGCACTTTCTTTGAAACATGCACTCGTGACTTCTGCTGTAAATTGATGCAAATTAAATAAAATGTAATCGTTTTATCGCTCTATGTCTTTAGAAAAGTTGCTTTCCTATTTTCTTCTAGCAGTCAGCTGATCAATTACGTAATCCAGAGCAACATTTTATTTATTTATTTTTAATCTAAGAAACCAAACAAGATTTCTTGTCAAAAGCCAGATGTAGACAGTCAATGACCTTCAGGGATTTTTCTTCTTGAAGAAATTAATGTAATTTGGTTAAGTAAAATCTCTAAAGTCTGTGATGGTACACATACTTAACTAACTTAAAGAAATTATATTATGAGTAATGCAAAGAATAGAAAGGCACAAAATGTTCAAGTTACACTTTGAGGTATGCACCTTCCATTTTTCCTAAAAGATGTATCACAATTTGTAGTTCATTGTGTCAAAGTTTACGACTCTGTTCAGCAAATGAAATAATAGAGTTTTGTTAAGTTGCAACACATTTTTTAAATTTCATATCATTAACAATTTTGCTTTAAGTTCAGACAGAGATTAAATAGATTAAAGAGCTACTTTAGCCCTAAAAACAGAATACTGTAGTCCCTCGCTACTTCGTGGTTCGTTTATCGCGGACTCGTTCTATTGCGGCTTTTCAAAATAAGATTGGACATGACGCACAACTGGCTGATTGATGGATGAGCCGCACGATCGGCATGGAATTTGTATTTAAAATAAATTATTTAAAATGATTTAGCACCTCCTGCAACTTTGTGTAGCCCTTACTGCAGGATAAACTTCCTGCTGCAGCTGATCAGCTGTTTACCGTGCATAACGGAGAAGTGGGCGTGGCCAAGAGTGCTTGCAGGTGGCAAAAAGCAGAGGAGGCAGAGAGCTGAAATCATGACATTCTGTGCTCTTTCAGAGTGCTTAGAGTTTAGAAACATTGTTTAGAATATTGCAGGAGTGTGGGAAGAGTTTAAAATGCCTTTATATATATTAAAAAAATACAATAAAATAAAATAAATAAAATATATATATATACATTTTTACATAATTTGGGCTTCCAGCTCATGAAACTCATGAAAACAGGAATTCAAAAAATTAGGATAGTGTGGAGAAATCAGCCCAAACTTTGCAGGGCATGAATGTTTTAAACTGAGTGTGACACACTAATCATCTACTTCTTTTTCAAAGCACCTGCACAGTTTTCCCCAGGTGTCATTAAATTGCTTCAGTTTGTTTCAGTTGTGCCCTGTGATGGACTTGCGACCCGTCCAGGGTGTACCCCTCCCCTCGCACAGTGATTGCTGGACATGGGCACCGGCGACCCCCGTGACCCACAAAGATAATGGATGGATGGATGGTTGTTTCAATTGCCTCAGTTTGGTTCAATATGGTGAAGACTGCAGACATAACAACTGGCCAAAAGACCATCATTGATAC